CCTGACTTCCCTGAGGCACTTTAACATGCCAGGGGATGGAGGAAGAAGTGGGGAATGGGGGAATGAGGTGGGGAATGGGAAACAACTGGTAAAGGGAAGGAGGGGTGATGGAAATGTTCTGGAATTAATGCTAATGCTGCAAAACATTGTGAATATACTAAAAACTACTGTGTATTTAGTGTTATGTAAATTACATCTCAATTTTGTTAATGCCACACACACAAAAAAAAAAGGAAAGCAGAAAACAGGACTATGATGTAGTCCTTCCTACCTCTATTTGTAGAACAAGGGCAGTCATTCTCCAATTTTGCTTACCATTCAACCTCCCTGACTTTTTCCTATCACTCCATACCAAAACAACTGCAGTGAAGATCCTCTTGAAGTACTGCAAGTAGAACTAAATGACTGAGATCTCTCTAGATTTTGTAACTTATTTCTGCAGGAGAAAGCATCTTTCTCTCTAGCAGAAATTCCTTCTGTGAGGAGGAGTATCGTTAGTGTGTCATTCCTGGCTACTTTCTACCCTGCCCTTGTCACAGGGACAAGCAGTGACTCATCTACTGGGTAAATTTAGAAGGAGAAACATGCATAGCCCAGGCAGGTCCTCTTCCTCCTCCCGCTGGAAGCAAGTTACCCACGGGGATCATACTTCTGGCTCTGCCCTAGAGCAGCCTCCCTGTGCCTGGAGTTGGGGGTGGCCAGTGTTTAATTCTGTAGTACAGGTCATTATAAAGTCCACTTACCTGCAGATAGACACCACATTCCTAAAACTCTGCTTTACTCTTTGTCTTCCTTGTCAGTAACTCACACAATGAAGAGAGGTGTTATTTGTTGGGCCCCTCGAACTACAACCCTTATTTTAAAGCTTTGGGAGGAATGTATGTCAAGGAGCCTCAAGACTTCTAGCCCATTAACTCTGCAAGGCAGTGAACCATGCAGGAATCAACTGCTCGAAGTTGATATGCCACCTGGAATCTTCCCAGAATCTTTCTGAGAGTCCTGATTCCTAGTATGAAGTAATAGACATCTATATAGAAAGAAAAGGCGGACATGGAGACATTTTTCTGTACTTTATCAGTGTTGGCTGGAACACAGCCCTCTTGGGACAGGGCTTCTGTAGGAGATTTACCTATGGGCTTTCGTGGCTTCCCCATACTTTTTCCACCTCACTTGCTGAACAGAAGGAAAGCTGATATAACACATGCAGGTTTTTCACAGATACACTGATCTGGAAACTGGGGCAGACATCAGCCCCTTTGGTGATAAAAGACTCCAGCACAATATGCTGCTCAGTCAAGGTCCAGTCCACTACAACTGTACCTCACTTTGTAGAAAGGGGTGTCAGTGAGAAACCCTGAGGGGAATATTTGCAAAGTAAATCATACTTCGAATTGACAAACAAACACTGATATTTAAAGAAACCTGTGATGAGTTTTAAATGTCAGCAGCTTTTCACGTAAAATCATATTTTTTATATTGTAACCTACCATTTCATCCTGGGATCTGACTGCAGTGTCAATTTTGAATGCAGGAAGTGATCTATATGCCGCCTTACAAAGCAGACCTTAATGGCTATAAATATCTTTAATTGTTACAAAGCTTTCCTTATGTGGAATAAAATTCTGCCTTACTTAACCTTTCGCCATCAGTCCAGGGTCTCTTCCCTGGAGCCATACACCATGGCATCTTTCAAACAGTTAAGACAGCCATCACACTACTATTTATTCTCCAAGAGGTGTAGCCCCGTAGGAGATATGAAAACAAGCCACCAGCCTGACCTTCAAAATATTGTCATTATTTTCTAGTGAGAGACACAAGTGTACACAGATAATTGTAGCTGAAAGCAGAATGATTAAAAGGAAAAACACTAAGTGTAACAACTATAAATAAAATGCTATAGGAACAAAGACAGGAGAGGGAATTAGAGTTAACCATATTTATGTTTCTTGATTTTAATGGTGTACTTATATTTTCAGCCTCTAAAACACAGCTTTTCCATTTACTTGTCTACATAAGAAAAAATGTGTACATCTAAATCATGCATTATCTGACAAAGTCATTTAATAATTCATCCCAGTTTTCATTTTAAGCAATATTTAACAAATATGGTATTCATCTCAGTGACAGCAGTAGGAGACAGACAAATTCCCTAGGTAGACAGGGATGGGTCTCTAGTGAAACCCAACCTTCAGGTGAAACCTGAAACTGAGTTTCCAGTTCCAGGTGGAGTCCACAACCAGAGTGAGAATTTTCTCGATGTCTTTTAGCCAACTGAATGGTGCTTTTTCCCAGCCCAACCATGGAACAATTACCATACACCCCATTCTGAGCCCATAAAAACCCCAGACTCAGCCTCACAGATGGCTATCCACTTTCAGGCCCCCTCTTACACAGAGGCCTACCCACTTCAGGTCCCCTCTCTTTATTGAGAGCTTTTCTGTCACTCAGTAAAATTCTTCTCTGCCTTGTTCAGATCCATGCATAATGTTCAGGGAACTAATTTCCAGATGTTCAACTTCCACATACATTCTTTCCCAAAACTGACCTGAGACTGCTTTCCTATCTCCCTTTGCACAATCACCCTTTGAAAGAAAGGTCTCCTATTATCCTAAGTGAAGTAACTCAGGAATGGAAAACCAAACATTCTATGTTCTCACTCATAAATGGGAGCTAAGCTATGAGGATGCAAAGGCATAAGAATGATACAATGGACTCTGGGGACTCAGGGGGAAAGGGTAGGAGGGGGTGAGGGATAAAAGGCTACACACTGAGTACAGTGTACACTGCTTGGGTGATGGCTGCACCAAAATCTCAGAAATCACCACTAATGAACTTATTCATGTAATCAAATACCACCTGTTCTCCAAAGACCTATTGGAAATAAAAATAAAATTAAATTTAAAAAAGAAAGATCTCTTTACAAAAGGCACACTTTTATCCATTCTTAATCTTACCCTGGTACACTGCACCAAAGTGTAAAAACCTCTAGAGTTCCAAATACAAGGATAATTCAACTCTTCCTCTGACCAAGGTTAAATAAATATCCCCAGCCTTCTCATTGATAATAAATTTCTGGCTGAGTACAGTGGCTCACGCTGTAATCCCAGCACTTTGGGAGGCCAAGTGCAGGAGGATCACTTGAAGCCAGGATTTCGAGACTTGCCTGGGCAACAGAGACACTTTCTCTACATAAAATAATTTAAAACTTAGCCATGCACGGTGGCGCGGGCCTGTAGTCCCAGCTGCTTAGAAGGTTGAGGCAGAAGATCACTTGAGCCCAGGAGTTCCAGGCTGCATTGAGCTATGATTGTGCCACTCAACTTTCTCCAGCCTGGGTGACAGCAAGACTCCTTCTCTTAAAAAAATAGAATTAAAAAAATAAACTTCTAACACAAATTTACCTTTAAATTTTAATAATGTTTATCATACTTTTCATATTATTTTCATCTAGTGTTCTAATAATAATTTCAATAATAATTCAATCCAGACAAAAAATTTAATACTTGGAGCTGTTGAATACAATGACTTCTAAATTTCTCTTCAAAGAATCAGTATGTCAGTATGCTCAGTTCATTGTGCTCTATTTTAAAGTCTAGCTTCCTCGTTCTCCTCACCCCTAGTTTCGGTAAACAACCTTTTCCACCAGTTTTAATCAGTAGTTCACATCTATTCCCCTGGTCACCTGCTCCATCTTAAGTCACCCCTGGTCACCTGCTCCGTCCTGAGTCACCTGTGGTCACCTGCTCTGACCCGAATCATCCTGAGTCACCTGTTCTGTAACCACCCTTCCTGCCAAACTACCCACCCCGCCACTCCAGCTCACACCCCGGCTGGTTAAAACAGCCAATCGGAATTAACTTAGACTGTGCGGTCCAACCCTAGCCACTAGGGGAAAGACACAGCAGTAGGGGCTACCTGCATCAGGAATAAGAACTTCCCCTTCCCCTCCCCTGTTCAGGTGTGCTCTTGCCATTGTTCCATCCGAGAGTCGCACCCTTCTATAGAAGTAAAATTGCCTTGCTGAAAAAATTATTTGAGTTTTTGCACCAAGGAACAATCATTTGTTTCTAACAAAGCCTTATTGTCAAAGGAAATTAAGAAAAAGCATTATACTTATTCATACATGTGCATATATATATACATATACACACACATATAGCAGAAAAGTATGATAGGATGAGCAAGGAAAAAAAACCCTCAAGCGAAACAAGGGGGTAATTCTGTGGGAGAAGTGGAATGTAAATCAAAGTCAAAGAGGAAAAGAAATGAGTAAAATTTCCCATTGTTGAAGAGTTTTATTTCAAATTAAGATGGTGGATATTAAATCATTACCGTATTTACATTCCATTGAATACATTTCAGAGTGACTTAATATTTTCATTTATAAATATCAATATTTTAAATAAGCCAGACGTTACAAACTTTGCAACTACTTAAACTTAGGATGAAACAAAAATTAGGTAACAATTTAATTCTTTTAAGAGCTACAAAGAGGTCTAAAAAAAGGTTTGACCTCTGAAAAGGTAACCTTAAACCATCTAAGCGTCCTTCCTAAAACCCAAGTCAAGACCAGGTAGCTTCAGTGGCAAGCAACGAGACCACTAGTTCAAAGACCCTCTTCTTTTCCTACCCAACTTCAACCTTTCCCTCTGTGCCGCTTACTCCCGCACCCGGCAGCCGCCCACTTCTGATCCTCAGCAAACCCCTCTCCACTTCTCTCCCCATCGCCACTTCCCTCCCCATTCCCCTACTTCCCTCCCCATTCCCCTACTTCCCTCCCCATTCCCCTACTTCCCTCCCTATTCCCCTACTTCCGCCCGTCCAAGTCCTCGGGCGCATGCGCGTTTCGCCTCCTTCCCCATCGCGGCTGCTGTGTCATGGCTGAGCGGAAGTCCCAGCCACAACGGGAAAAGGCATACTATAGGTGGGAGGCGCTTTCACAGCTTTCTCCCCTTCCTCCCATAACCTTTTTGATCTCCCACTGTGGAGGGGCCTCCTACCCTGCACTCTCCCGAACACCTCGTAGTCCACGGATTTGAGTGGCCCGGCGGTAGACATGGCTGCGGCGAGCCCTCTGTTGAGGAGCCGGAGCAGGGCTCGGGGCGCGGCGACTGCGGCGGCCGCGAGAGGGAGGGGACACATGGGACCGCTTGGCGCACCCCGCGCCTGTCACCGGTCCCGGACGCTAGCGCGCCGGGGTCACGCGTCGGACGCGGCAAATGAGACTGCGGGGCCTGGGAGCGAGGGCCGCCGGGGACGCCAGGAGGGAAGAGGCAGCTGGGCCCCAGGCATCCTAGGCCTCCTTTCTCTGCCTGTCTTCCCGGACTGGGGAGGATGCTCTCTCCACAGCGCTCCCTACCATTTAATTGATCAAGGTTCTCTGTTCCCAAAGTTAGTAAATAAAAGCCGGATGCTGTGCCCAAAAAAAGTTGCTTCCCCCAGCTTTATTAAAGTGTAATTGACAAAAGTTGGGTATATTTGTGGTGTACAAGGTGATGTTTTGACATATGTATGCATTGTGAAATGATTACATCAATGGAATTAACATATCCATTGCACCATTTTTTCATGAAGAGAACATTTAAGATCTACTCATCAATTTTTAAGGACACAATACATTAACTACAGTCACCATGTTACACATCAGATCTTCAGAACTTCCTGTTCACACTAACTGAAACTTTGTACCCTTTGACCAATATCTGCCCATTTCCAACCCCTTTCATCCCCCATCCCAGGTCCCCCGCCCTACTCCATCCCGGCAAGATTTGCTTTTGAAATCAAGGGCCTGCTGGTTTAGTGTTTTGAGAGTTAGTAAATTATTTATGAAATGTTTAGATGACTACCAAATCCGGCGATTTTGAGCCAGCTTTTAAGATAAGGTCTGCAACATCTTGAACTCTTCTGTAGAGTCAGGAAGTAGCTAAGCCTGAACTCATATTCTAAATGGATTGTGATATTTTTCTGGGATAAGAAACTTTTTAAAAATATGAAGTATTTTATTCTAGTGGAAACAGACAAAAGAAAAACACTGTAGTCATCTTGTCTGCTGTTCAGTCATACAGTTTTTTGTGTGGGGGGGTTTGTTGTTGTTTTGAGACAGAGTTTCGCTCTTGTCGCCCAGAGTGAAGTACAGTGGTGCAAACTCGGCTCACTGCAACCTCCACCTCCTGGGTTCAAGAGATTCTCCTGCCTCAGCCTTCCAAGTAGCTGGGATTACAGGCAAGCACCACCTCACCCAGCTGATTTTTGTATTTTTAGTAGAGACGGTGTTTCACCATGTTGTCCAGGCTGGGCTCAAACTCCTGACCTCAGGTGATCCACCTGCCTTGGCCTCCCAAAGTGCTGGGATTACAGGTGTGAGCCACCGCACCCAATCTTTTTTTTTTTTTTTTTTTTTTTTTTTAATGATCTTGATTATTCTCAGCAACATCCCAATTGCCTAGAAGGTTAAGGCTGGATTTTATTTCCTAGTGAGCTATTATAAAGTTTTAATATAAAACCATCCACCACTCCAAGGGATCTGGATACAGCTATTGATAATCTGCCACCTTCTAGAATTCCAAATATGTTTACTTGTGAGAATTTGCATTTCTGTATTTGTTGGCCTCAATACTTTTACATGTTTCTCTGCATCTGGCCACACAGTTAAAATAATCCACTGCAATCTGATTCAATATACTGTGCCAATTCTATTAGAGAACACCAAAAATCACCTAAAACTTGGTTAGAATATGGTTAAATCATTTTTAAAGTAAAATGTATTACAGAAATGCTAATGCAGTTAATTTATGTAGTGAAGGTCTTGGTTTACTGCAGAGACCTCACAACTTACCTCTTCCATCTCCCAGTTCATTCCATGCAGACTCTAGAATCAACATAAATTTTAAGTCATTCTTCTTAATACGTTCAAAATAGAACCTAAGGTCTTCAGCCTCCACTACCTGCGTTTAAACTATAGTCAAGACACTCTCGGTTATTCCGCTGTTTCAATAGAGAGGTTTAAAACAAAGAACCTCCTCTCTTGGATCTACTGTATCTGGAATGCCTTCCCCTTCTCCAGTATCTTCCTCGATCCCGCTCAGTCACCTCTGCGAGTGGTTACCAGATTTTATCCTAGTTATTTAGTGTGCCTTCCCCACTAGTACAGTCGGTCATCTATATTAGCAGGTTCTGCATCCATAGATTCAACCAACCTCAAACAGAATTTTTTTTTTTTTTTTTTTTAAGTATCTTGACCTCCACGGTGGTTCACACCTGTAATCCCAACACGTTGGGAGGCTGAGGCTGGCGAATAGCTTGAGCCCAGGAGTTAGAGACCAACCTGGACGATACAGTGAAGCCCCGCCTCTATAAAAAATACAAAAATTAGCTGGGTGTGGTGGCCTGTGCCTGTAGTCCTAGCTACTTGGGAGGCTGAGGTGGGAGTAGGATCACTTTTGCCCAGGAGGCAGAGGTTGCAGTGAGCTGAGATGGGGCCACTGCACTCCAGCCTGGGTGATAGAGCAAGACCCTTTCTCAAAAAAAAAAAAAAAAAAAAAAAAAAAAAAAAAAAGGCATCTCTACTGAACACATGCAGACTCTTTTTTCTTGTCATCATTTCCTGAACAATACAATATAATAGCATTTACATCTCATTAGGTATTATAAGTAGTCTAGAGATGACTTAAAATATACAAGACAATATGTGTACGTATGTTTCTATCAGGAATTTGAACATTCAGGATTTTTATATCCAAGGGGAGTCCTGGAACCAATCCCCTGCAGATAACAACGGACAACTATACCGTAGCTTCTAAGTAGTCACTGACTGGGAAGGTTGACATTTTCCTTTTCTTAATCAATCTTTGACTTTTCTCCACATTTACCCAAGAGTACCCCTGCCAATTATTAGGTAGGGTTTATTTGAATTTTAGAAGTGCTATAGCAACAATTGACATTTGCTTAGCTGAAAAATTTGCTGTGTCTGCCAGCAGTCTAACATTAGCAAATGGAAATTTTTATGTACCATTTCAGCATGGATTGCCAATAATATGTGATTCTAAGTCTTTAGAAAATTTAAGCAAATGTTTCTAATATATGTTTTAAGTAATTATAATATGAATTCAACTTTTATTCTTCTTTTCCATGTTGTTATCTTTCCAATGAATATTTTAATAAATCACATTAGGTGGATAAACCACACATGTACCTACTGTGAGTCCCTGTTGTTACATTTTCAGGCTGCTTCTCATTTTTGGCTACCATAGAAAAGAAAATATTTGTGCATATAGCTTCCTTCCCACATATTTTTAATTGAAGTTAGAATATCAAATCAAGGATATAAGCATGTGTTGTTCTTGATGTATATTGCCAAACTGTTTTTCAAAGGGCTGTGTCAATTTAAATATATTACCACCAACACTGTATATGATTATTTGACTTTTTATACAAACAAATGTATGCAGGTCCTTCACATACAATGTGTGATTAAATTATATGAAGCTTTGGTTTTCTAACCTGAGCAACAGCTTTGGAATAACTAGGCTTTGTGTTACTACTGGTTGAAATTAAAACCTGTCAATTCCCTTCTTTGAACCCTTTAAGACAATTTGTTTGTGATCTAGGATTATGTTTAAGGTAATACATAGAAAAGGAAAATCCTGCTTATATAATATGACTGTAAAAGATGACCAAGCACCAGAACCTATGAAATAATACACATATATAGATATGTATTATCTATCTATGATAATACATATGATAATAATACATATGATAATATGATAGATAATACACATCTATATATGTGTATATCTAATAAGGATAGATAATACACAGAACCTGTGAAAAAAGGATAGATAAAACTCTGTGTCCAAATGACATTTGAACTGAAGAGGTGCTGCCTGTAACTCTTGAATTCATCACCACATGGGGTCATTTGAAAGTGATTGCTAGTTATTTCTTAGAAATTTGATATTAAGATATGATTGATTTCAAGGACAAGCAAAATTACTTTATCTGTCAACACATTTCTATCCCTGAAATATTTTTGTAATCATTATGGTGAAAGTACAGGACCCAACAGGATACAAATTGTTAACTTCCACAAGGCAAGAGGCCTAAACAGGCCATTCAATGATTCCCTGTGGAAGGAACACTTTATAGGTCAAAATAAATGCTTAGATAATTGTTACTAACTGGTTTCAAAATTATTAGACAGCAACTGTTGATCGACTGAGTAAGTAGCTGGTTTCCCAGAAGAGGCTTTCATCTTATTACAAATTATCAGAAAATTGCTTAAGCGTTCTCTCAGCAAAGCATATTTCTTTCCAGAAGGATATTCTGTCCGAGGTTTGAACCAATTTTTCTTTGTCACTGTCCAGTTTAATAGTAAAAAGTCAGAAGGATAAGTAACATTAAAGCATCTTCCCTCTCCCAGCTTGGTACTAAGTATGCTAAAGTGAGGAGAGGCCATGGTTGGTCCCTGCCCTTGCCTTCATTTCCCCCTACCTAGCTGAAAATGGAAAGACACAACATACTTTTGAAATCCATTTGGGCTCTCTGGGAATGGTGAATATCCAAAGCTGATTACTTATTTTGCAGGATTCTTTTTGTGGGGACTCAGAACTTCACCCTAATTGGAATTCCTGACTGCTGCTCCCTTGTAAGGCAATGCCAGTTCTCTCTGCAGCCCCATCCCAGCTTCTGTATTAAATGCTCTGGCCCAGCTTCTGTATTAAATGCTACACCTTCAACCTCTTTCTGCTGAAAGAGACTAGCCCCCAGCAAGAAGGCCATCTGGGTGGGATCCATTTTAAACTGACCACAGGACAACATCCCTTTCTCCCATCACATCCTAGTTGTGGAGACTCATATCTCTGCCCTACCAGTGATAGAAGTCACAGATTGCGCTGAACTCAACCACGTCTCTTTGCTCTGCTTCGCAGTCATTTTTCAGACATCTCCAGCTACAGCCTTTCCTCTTGCCTTTCCTCAGGTATGGGTCAACCTGTCTTTCTAGCTCTGAGGAGTAAACACCGAGATCTCAGAGAGGTTTTCTTAAAGACTGTCTCACTGAGCTTGGGGTGATGAGGAGACACCCTGCTTCTCTCTCACATGGTGGGAGGAAAAAGCTACAGTTCCCCAGTGCATTTCCCCAGAGAAATACTCTGGAGCCTCAGGTGGGTGTTGGACTAAAAATCTTAAAATTCTTTTAAAATGCCCCTTTTGTACAACACAGGGAGTTTAGCACCTCATCTCAAAATGTAGCTATAACTACGGTTTTGTTTTCGGTTACAGGTCTCAGCTGAAGCTGAGACAAAAGTCCTGTTTTTCAAATCAACAGAATTCAATACATAAACCTTGTTTGGATCCTGATTTGAGTATGTAAATCTGAACAAGACATTTTTTAGACCATTGGAGAACTTTGAATGTAGGCTGACTACTAAACATTACAGAATCATCATTAACTTTGTCACTGTGATAATGGCATCGTGGGTATTTA